AATTTTGTTTTGATGAATTTATTTATATACAGTATTAAAAAAATATTTTTATATATGTGCTTTATCCTATTTTTTTAACATCAATATGAAATTATTAAGAAGTGAAATTAACTTTGATTTATGCGTACAGATAACATATACCTGCATAGGTACCTGCATACGTTTGTTGGAATTATATAGAGGGCATAGAACACACAAAAAATAAAAAAAAGGAAAAGGGTTATTTTGAGAGTACCTTATTTTGAAGAGACAAAATGACATAACATGAAACATGCTTTCCTTCTAATTTTATTTTTCCTTTTGTTCTTCATAGCACAACATGATATTACATCATGCTTCCAATTAAAAACTACACCTTCTTTTCTTAATAACCAAAAATTTACGTCATACGCACAAAAGGGCAGCAATAAAAGGACAATCCTTAGATTAGAAAAATCGTTTTCTGCCCATGGAAAATCCTTAAAAAGGTCAAACGTCGATGAAAGCGACGTGTATGAGAATGTAGAAAAGTTTGTTACAAATAGTCCCTTCTCTAGCAGAAGTGAAAATGATAGTGCCAATACGAAGAACCTAGCTAGATTCACTTCTAGTTTTGCGTCAAGTCCAGATGTGTGGAATGAAGTTGTGATAGACGATATGAACAGCAAAGATGTTACAGGCTTAACAAGATTTTTGTATGCAAAATATAGAAGAGCATTTGCGTCCATTGATGAAAAGAGGAATAATGCAGACAGCACCTTTAACACTGAAAAAATAAAATCGTTGTTTCTTTCCGTTCGATCCGCTGCAATTGATAACATGAATACAGATGAATTTTTTAAGCATTTAGAAAGTTATTCTCTTTTACTAAAATGTTGCAAAGATAATTATGTCTCTTTTAGTTTTATTAAAAATGAAATCGGAAATATAATGAACACAATCATAAAGCACTCCCAGAATTATCTACATGACAAGGACATATGTGGCAGGATGAAAAATGAGTTTGTAAATATGCACGATCTCATAAAAGATATAAAAAAGAATGATGCTATAAGAATGAATATTAAAAGTTTCTTTTCTGTGTTAAGCACCAACATGGTCTTAAATAACAATTATGTATTTCATTTCCTAACAGAAATATTCTCAGCGTTGAATTTGCTGATGCGAGATAACCCAGATTTAATTCATCATTATGAGTACATAATAAATCCCCATTTCTTCTTTATAAGTATTTTTTCCCTGTATTCTTATAATTTAAGCAAAGCTCGTTTTTACTACGTAATGCTATTAATTCATAATCAAATAAATTTGGAGAATGTAAAGGAAAATGTTGCGAAATATGATGATACTTTAAATTATAGTGAGTACAAGAACCATATACTTAACACCATTTTTGAGAAAGAAACAAAGGAATGTGAATATATTAAAGGGGTTATTGCAAATAGCAAAAAAGGTGGTAGCACTATTGTTAAAAGGGAAAACGAGATGCATAATGAAAGCTTAAATAAGGACCCAAGGGATGAGAAGGAAGGAAAAGACGCTATATTAAATGATGAAGACGAGTCGTTAGTCAAGGGGTGCAAATATGTACTATTTAAAGAACTATATGACAATGTCTTCATAAAACTTTTATTATTTTATGTTTTCTTTTTTTTCAGTGATCACTATTTTTGCACTATTATTTTATTAAATTTTAAGAATTCTATAAAGGACCGAAAGAAGGACGGTCGTTTGTTGGAAATCGTTAATTATTTATTTTCTTTGTTACTAGATAGTTTATACCCAGTACGAGATTATTCTAATATAGTCTTGCTTTTAAGTTTATATAAAAACAATTTTAACGCACTTGATGATAAAAGTTTAAGTGCTGTGAAGAAAATTTTTAATGCAGTTGTAGATGACAATATGCGGGAAGAAACTTCTGACGACATGTTTAAATTACTTTCAGATATTAGCGAATCGATTAAAAGTGTGGAGAATGAAAAAAATCGCATGAATAAAAATATTACAAGCAATTCTAATGAGAGCAAAAATATCGGGGAGGAGTTATGCACGAATAGCATAACTTTGAAGGAGGGCGGGAGTAAGGAAGAAATTTCCAAATACAACGACGATGGGGTCACTGAACAAAATAAGGAATCAGAGGCTCAGAACGTAGAAAATAAAGACGCAACTGCAAACGATTCGAATAGCATGAAAGACAAGTTTAACAAATATCTGCTGCGTCTGCTGAAAAACAAAGAGTATGACAAAATTGAACGGTTAGAAAAAAGAGATAATTTATATGTAAATAACAAAACATATAGTTTGTTTATTCAGTCCTTTTTGAGGAACCATAAATATGATCGAGTGTACAAAGTTTACAAAAAGATGAAATTGAAGAAGAATATTCCTATAAAATATTTAAATGCAAAAAATTTGATACACAGTTTTAAGAATTGTGATATAGACAAAGGGCAGGTGCTGAATGAATTACAACTAATCAGTAAATCTTACTTAAATTTATATTTTTCTAAAGACTGCTATTTCGTACTGACGAAAACGATGCTGTACAAGCATATGTGCGATTACTTAAAAAAAAAATGTGACATGAAATTAATGATCGATATTTTTAACTTTAATGAACTTTTAAAATATTTCATAAGATTTAAAAGCTTCATTAATATAAAAAAGTTATATTTCCTTCTACTCAAGTATTCGTACATTAAAACGTACAAAACTTACGTGATATTGATAAGATTTTTCAACAACCTGAATTATGAATCTGAGAGGGGAATCGCGCAGGAAGAGGCAAGGCCGGTGAGCGAGGGCGAAGCGGAGGGATCGTCATTAGAATGTGTAAAGGAAGACGAGGGCGAAGCGGAGGGATCGTCATTAGAATGTGTAAAGGAAGACGAGGGCGAAGCGGAGGGATCGTCATTAGAATGTGTAAAGGAAGACGAGGGCGAAGCGGAGGGATCGTCATTAGAATGTGTAAAGGAAGACGAGGGCGAAGCGGAGGGATCGTCATTAGAATGTGTAAAGGAAGACGAGGGCGAAGCGGAGGGATCGTCATTAGAATGTGTAAAGGAAGACGAGGGCGAAGCGGAGGGATCGTCATTAGAATGTGTAAAGGAAGACGAGGGCGAAGCGGAGGGATCGTCATTAGAATGTGTAAAGGAAGACGAGGGCGAAGCGGAGGGATCGTCATTAGAATGTGTAAAGGAAGACGAGGGCGAAGCGGAGGGATCGTCATTAGAATGTGTAAAGGAAGACGAGGGCGAAGCGGAGGGATCGTCATTAGAATGTGTAAAGGAAGACGAGGGCGAAGCGGAGGGATCGTCATTAGAATGTGTAAAGGAAGACGAGGGCGAAGCGGAGGGATCGTCATTAGAATGTGTAAAGGAAGACGAGGGCGAAGCGGAGGGATCGTCATTAGAATGTGTAAAGGAAGACGAGGGCGAAGCGGAGGGATCGTCATTAGAATGTGTAAAGGAAGACGAGGGCGAAGCGGAGGGATCGTCATTAGAATGTGTAAAGGAAGACGAGGGCGAAGCGGAGGGATCGTCATTAGAATGTGTAAAGGAAGACGAGGGCGAAGCGGAGGGATCGTCATTAGAATGTGTAAAGGAAGACGAGGGCGAAGCGGAGGGATCGTCATTAGAATGTGTAAAGGAAGACGAGGGCGAAGCGGAGGGATCGTCATTAGAATGTGTAAAGGAAGACGAGGGCGAAGCGGAGGGATCGTCATTAGAATGTGTAAAGGAAGACGAGGGCGAAGCGGAGGGATCGTCATTAGAATGTGTAAAGGAAGACGAGGGCGAAGCGGAGGGATCGTCATTAGAATGTGTAAAGGAAGACGAGGGCGAAGCGGAGGGATCGTCATTAGAATGTGTAAAGGAAGACGAGGGCGAAGCGGAGGGATCGTCATTAGAATGTGTAAAGGAAGACGAGGGCGAAGCGGAGGGATCGTCATTAGAATGTGTAAAGGAAGACGAGGGCGAAGCGGAGGGATCGTCATTAGAATGTGTAAAGGAAGACGAGGGCGAAGCGGAGGGATCGTCATTAGAATGTGTAAAGGAAGACGAGGGCGAAGCGGAGGGATCGTCATTAGAATGTGTAAAGGAAGACGAGGGCGAAGCGGAGGGATCGTCATTAGAATGTGTAAAGGAAGACGAGGGCGAAGCGGAGGGATCGTCATTAGAATGTGTAAAGGAAGACGAGGGCGAAGCGGAGGGATCGTCATTAGAATGTGTAAAGGAAGACGAGGGCGAAGCGGAGGGATCGTCATTAGAATGTGTAAAGGAAGACGAGGGCGAAGCGGAGGGATCGTCATTAGAATGTGTAAAGGAAGACGAGGGCGAAGCGGAGGGATCGTCATTAGAATGTGTAAAGGAAGACGAGGGCGAAGCGGAGGGATCGTCATTAGAATGTGTAAAGGAAGACGAGGGCGAAGCGGAGGGATCGTCATTAGAATGTGTAAAGGAAGACGAGGGCGAAGCGGAGGGATCGTCATTAGAATGTGTAAAGGAAGACGAGGGCGAAGCGGAGGGATCGTCATTAGAATGTGTAAAGGAAGACGAGGGCGAAGCGGAGGGATCGTCATTAGAATGTGTAAAGGAAGACGAGGGCGAAGCGGAGGGATCGTCATTAGAATGTGTAAAGGAAGACGAGGGCGAAGCGGAGGGATCGTCATTAGAATGTGTAAAGGAAGACGAGGGCGAAGCGGAGGGATCGTCATTAGAATGTGTAAAGGAAGACGAGGGCGAAGCGGAGGGATCGTCATTAGAATGTGTAAAGGAAGACGAGGGCGAAGCGGAGGGATCGTCATTAGAATGTGTAAAGGAAGACGAGGGCGAAGCGGAGGGATCGTCATTAGAATGTGTAAAGGAAGACGAGGGCGAAGCGGAGGGATCGTCATTAGAATGTGTAAAGGAAGACGAGGGCGAAGCGGAGGGATCGTCATTAGAATGTGTAAAGGAAGACGAGGGCGAAGCGGAGGGATCGTCATTAGAATGTGTAAAGGAAGACGAGGGCGAAGCGGAGGGATCGTCATTAGAATGTGTAAAGGAAGACGAGGGCGAAGCGGAGGGATCGTCATTAGAATGTGTAAAGGAAGACGAGGGCGAAGCGGAGGGATCGTCATTAGAATGTGTAAAGGAAGACGAGGGCGAAGCGGAGGGATCGTCATTAGAATGTGTAAAGGAAGACGAGGGCGAAGCGGAGGGATCGTCATTAGAATGTGTAAAGGAAGACGAGGGCGAAGCGGAGGGATCGTCATTAGAATGTGTAAAGGAAGACGAGGGCGAAGCGGAGGGATCGTCATTAGAATGTGTAAAGGAAGACGAGGGCGAAGCGGAGGGATCGTCATTAGAATGTGTAAAGGAAGACGAGGGCGAAGCGGAGGGATCGTCATTAGAATGTGTAAAGGAAGACGAGGGCGAAGCGGAGGGATCGTCATTAGAATGTGTAAAGGAAGACGAGGGCGAAGCGGAGGGATCGTCATTAGAATGTGTAAAGGAAGACGAGGGCGAAGCGGAGGGATCGTCATTAGAATGTGTAAAGGAAGACGAGGGCGAAGCGGAGGGATCGTCATTAGAATGTGTAAAGGAAGACGAGGGCGAAGCGGAGGGATCGTCATTAGAATGTGTAAAGGAAGACGAGGGCGAAGCGGAGGGATCGTCATTAGAATGTGTAAAGGAAGACGAGGGCGAAGCGGAGGGATCGTCATTAGAATGTGTAAAGGAAGACGAGGGCGAAGCGGAGGGATCGTCATTAGAATGTGTAAAGGAAGACGAGGGCGAAGCGGAGGGATCGTCATTAGAATGTGTAAAGGAAGACGAGGGCGAAGCGGAGGGATCGTCATTAGAATGTGTAAAGGAAGACGAGGGCGAAGCGGAGGGATCGTCATTAGAATGTGTAAAGGAAGACGAGGGCGAAGCGGAGGGATCGTCATTAGAATGTGTAAAGGAAGACGAGGGCGAAGCGGAGGGATCGTCATTAGAATGTGTAAAGGAAGACGAGGGCGAAGCGGAGGGATCGTCATTAGAATGTGTAAAGGAAGACGAGGGCGAAGCGGAGGGATCGTCATTAGAATGTGTAAAGGAAGACGAGGGCGAAGCGGAGGGATCGTCATTAGAATGTGTAAAGGAAGACGAGGGCGAAGCGGAGGGATCGTCATTAGAATGTGTAAAGGAAGACGAGGGCGAAGCGGAGGGATCGTCATTAGAATGTGTAAAGGAAGACGAGGGCGAAGCGGAGGGATCGTCATTAGAATGTGTAAAGGAAGACGAGGGCGAAGCGGAGGGATCGTCATTAGAATGTGTAAAGGAAGACGAGGGCGAAGCGGAGGGATCGTCATTAGAATGTGTAAAGGAAGACGAGGGCGAAGCGGAGGGATCGTCATTAGAATGTGTAAAGGAAGACGAGGGCGAAGCGGAGGGATCGTCATTAGAATGTGTAAAGGAAGACGAGGGCGAAGCGGAGGGATCGTCATTAGAATGTGTAAAGGAAGACGAGGGCGAAGCGGAGGGATCGTCATTAGAATGTGTAAAGGAAGACGAGGGCGAAGCGGAGGGATCGTCATTAGAATGTGTAAAGGAAGACGAGGGCGAAGCGGAGGGATCGTCATTAGAATGTGTAAAGGAAGACGAGGGCGAAGCGGAGGGATCGTCATTAGAATGTGTAAAGGAAGACGAGGGCGAAGCGGAGGGATCGTCATTAGAATGTGTAAAGGAAGACGAGGGCGAAGCGGAGGGATCGTCATTAGAATGTGTAAAGGAAGACGAGGGCGAAGCGGAGGGATCGTCATTAGAATGTGTAAAGGAAGACGAGGGCGAAGCGGAGGGATCGTCATTAGAATGTGTAAAGGAAGACGAGGGCGAAGCGGAGGGATCGTCATTAGAATGTGTAAAGGAAGACGAGGGCGAAGCGGAGGGATCGTCATTAGAATGTGTAAAGGAAGACGAGGGCGAAGCGGAGGGATCGTCATTAGAATGTGTAAAGGAAGACGAGGGCGAAGCGGAGGGATCGTCATTAGAATGTGTAAAGGAAGACGAGGGCGAAGCGGAGGGATCGTCATTAGAATGTGTAAAGGAAGACGAGGGCGAAGCGGAGGGATCGTCATTAGAATGTGTAAAGGAAGACGAGGGCGAAGCGGAGGGATCGTCATTAGAATGTGTAAAGGAAGACGAGGGCGAAGCGGAGGGATCGTCATTAGAATGTGTAAAGGAAGACGAGGGCGAAGCGGAGGGATCGTCATTAGAATGTGTAAAGGAAGACGAGGGCGAAGCGGAGGGATCGTCATTAGAATGTGTAAAGGAAGACGAGGGCGAAGCGGAGGGATCGTCATTAGAATGTGTAAAGGAAGACGAGGGCGAAGCGGAGGGATCGTCATTAGAATGTGTAAAGGAAGACGAGGGCGAAGCGGAGGGATCGTCATTAGAATGTGTAAAGGAAGACGAGGGCGAAGCGGAGGGATCGTCATTAGAATGTGTAAAGGAAGACGAGGGCGAAGCGGAGGGATCGTCATTAGAATGTGTAAAGGAAGACGAGGGCGAAGCGGAGGGATCGTCATTAGAATGTGTAAAGGAAGACGAGGGCGAAGCGGAGGGATCGTCATTAGAATGTGTAAAGGAAGACGAGGGCGAAGCGGAGGGATCGTCATTAGAATGTGTAAAGGAAGACGAGGGCGAAGCGGAGGGATCGTCATTAGAATGTGTAAAGGAAGACGAGGGCGAAGCGGAGGGATCGTCATTAGAATGTGTAAAGGAAGACGAGGGCGAAGCGGAGGGATCGTCATTAGAATGTGTAAAGGAAGACGAGGGCGAAGCGGAGGGATCGTCATTAGAATGTGTAAAGGAAGACGAGGGCGAAGCGGAGGGATCGTCATTAGAATGTGTAAAGGAAGACGAGGGCGAAGCGGAGGGATCGTCATTAGAATGTGTAAAGGAAGACGAGGGCGAAGCGGAGGGATCGTCATTAGAATGTGTAAAGGAAGACGAGGGCGAAGCGGAGGGATCGTCATTAGAATGTGTAAAGGAAGACGAGGGCGAAGCGGAGGGATCGTCATTAGAATGTGTAAAGGAAGACGAGGGCGAAGCGGAGGGATCGTCATTAGAATGTGTAAAGGAAGACGAGAGCGCAGCGGAGGGATCCTCACCTGTATGTGTAAAGGAAGACGCACGGGAAGCAGAGGACTTCAAATGCCCTTTTGAGAAAAACATCGAAATTTACAACGATATAGTAAATCTAAGAAAGAACAAGCTGTCTTATTACATTTTCCAAGGGATCAATTCGGATGAGGATTTTAATTTATATAATAAAGTTTACGAAATTGCGAAGAAAGATAAATATGACATGAGTTTGTTTATCTTAAGCAATTTTATCATAGAGTATATTTTTATGGAATATGGTTCGGACGACATAGTAGAAAGTGAATTGACCAACGTGAATAACATACTGAACATATTTTTCGAGGCCATAAACTTGTTTTTCTACAAAGAGAACTACAGAATAACTGTAAATATATTTTTCTTTCTTCTACTATTTTTAAATTATTATGTGACAAGATACATAAAAAAGGATTTAAAATATTCTATTTTTTTGAAAGAAAACATCTTAAACTTTTTTTTGTCCAACAATTATGAAGTAATTAAAGTAAATAGCGATGATGTCTATTCTTATGTGCCACACTTTATATTACGTACTGTATCCGTGTCTGTAAATCATTTGAAGAATGCTCACAATTTGAAAGAAACCATTTCAGCCGGACGGTATTTCGATTCAAATGATTTTAATAAAAATGTGATTCTTCCCCCGGCAGTGAACTGCAAAAATATAATGTCCATATTTCTACTTTTGAGGAACAATTTAATTATGTGTGACAAAACGATGGAGAAGGATCTGTATGATAGGCAAAAAAGCAACAACAATAAAGTTATGCAAAATGTGAGTGTTCATGCAAAAGGAAGAAACTACTTATATAGAGATGTAATTGAAAAAAATTACAGTGAACAGAACGAGAGTACTGAACAGAGCGTTCCACCTTCTACCACATATAGTAACATTGCTAATGTATTTGTGAAGCTAAAATATACAATTGGTTCAGACAACATCACCGAAGATTCCTTGAAAGGTTTTTTATTCAACAAACTGAGAATTGACGTAAATAAGAAGAACGCAGATGGGTTAATCAGCACTCTGAGGGATATATTTTTCACCTACAACAATATAATATATTTAAATTCGAGAGACTTTCTTAACATTTATGAAAAGCTCAGTTGGCTTTACGACAGCGCGTTAGCATCCCTAACCATTATATTTTTCCTCGAAGATAGGAGAAACGTTAAAGAGGGTACTGCTGCTACGGTGAAAGCCGCAACCGTCACAGCCACTACCGCCACAGCTCCTACTGCTACGGATATGAGTGCATTACCAGGCGGCCCCCCCGTGGGTGACGGCACAAAAGAAGTGAACTTTGACGAATACATTACTATGTTGAGGGCCATGGACAAGGCATACTTTAAAGATATCCTAAATGGTCCTACTGTATGCAAACTTTTAAAGAAATACGAAAATTTTATCCATATGTGCCTCTATTTTGATTTAAATAAAAAGAGAGTGGACAACGTTATAACTCTGTTGGACGTGTCCAGGAAGGTACGAACAAATAAAAAATGGCTGTGCTCGCCAATTATGTGCTACGAGAAGGTGTTGCCTCTGTACGGTGTGGCATAGTGCTATATGCACACATCGGATTATGTCTACTCATCCCCGATGGTGCCATTTACAAACGAGTGCGTATTTCGATTCCCCCTCCCCCCTATTTTCAGTGTGACATTCTCGTGAGCACAGAAACGCTGATAGACGTTTTTTCCCTGTACCTGGAGAGAAAAATGGTAGAGGATAAATTTCACAAAAAAAGGAGTTATGCCTTCACTGTGCTGCTATTATGCGTCCATTGTGCTGACACTGTGCCCCCTTTTTCTTCTCCCTTTTCAGAACGATTTAATATTCAAAGAGTTCGAATCATTTTCCCGATCTGAGGGGACAGCAAATTTCGAACTGTATTACACTGTCGTGAAGGCAGCGTTTTTCGAAGGTACGTGGAGTAGGAACCGGATGGCGCGTGCGCATACCTGAAACTGCAATTGCAAGTGGTGCATGCTTCTTTATTATGCTCATGTCTGTGACAGTCTCACGTGTAGCACCTCCGTACAGATGGAACAATTTTTTAACTTTCTCCACCCCAATTTCACCCCTTTTTCATGCCTCACATTCGTAGAAAACGCTAAAGTAGCCCTAAACGTCTTGAACGATGTGCTAAAATCATTTGACATAAAACGAGTTCCCTTAAACTTCTTTGAAGGCATTTTATTAATTTTGAAAAAAAAAGGGAAATACAAAGATTTATATCAGTCCATTGACAGGCTACACAGGGAGCTGATCAATTTTGAAAAGAATAACCAATTTGGTGATTTAGAAAAATTGGCAGCTGATGTGAGAAGCGATTTGCACAAGTGTAAAGCAGAAAGGCAGTTTTAAGCGGAAAATGGGGAAGTAACATGTTTGTAGTTTTTCCATTATGCAGTTTTGCTGGGCTTTTTGCGTATAATATTTTATTTTCGCTTTTACTTTATTACTTTTTTTTTTTGTCTTTTCTTCCATTTAATATTTTCACACATCGCCCTTTATGTGTACCTCTTTGCCAATTTCTAGTCACAATTATGCTTTGCACGAAATATACATTTTTTCGTTTGTTTTTAATTTTATCCCATTCAACTTAAAGCATTTGTTTGAAAACAAACGCAGGTGTCATGTATTGTATGTATATACTAAGCGACAAGAAAAAAAAAAAAAAAGGTTCAGACTTTGCAAAAAAAAAAAAAAGAAGGCAAAACATTTACTTCTTTAACATAACCGGTTAGGTTCCTTTAAATGTAACCCTAAACTGCGAGATGCAACAAAGAATAAGGTGCACAGTAGGATAAACTTATGCCTAAATTTGGGTCGTAAAAAGGGGAACCCAATGTAGCATCAGAAGCGTAAGGGGCAAAGATTGCCATTTGGATCATTGTCCTTGCAATGCGTATTCGGTAATGTACACGTGCTTTCCCCTTCCCTTACAGAGGACCTTTTTTTTTTTTACATATGTAAAAATACATTTATAAAAAATGTTCAAAGGGGCGTGAATCGAGCATATTTTGGGTCAAATAAAAGCGCGCAAAACACATTTCATCTTTCTTTTCGTAAAACGAAAAAGATGAAAAATCAGGAAATAGTAAAATGCGCGCCAGTGGTATTTTTTTCCACATTTCCATTTGTGCATTTGTGTACTTTTCGCCCATGCCTTTTTCGATCATGAACTTTGCAGCTGCGCACTTTCTGCTTTGCGCTGTTTCTCCTCCCCCTGCTCTGTTTTAGCGAGTTTGCACTTTTCATGAATGTTTTTCTAAACAAGGAGGACACGCATAAACACCCTGCGCGTCGCCCCCCTTTTCGCTGACGCCAAGGTGTGGAGAACAAGACAAAGGTGAACTTCTCGATACACTCCCTATATGCAACCATGTACATAAAACAGATAAAACTTAAAGGGTTCCGGACCTACAAAAATGAAACGACCATTGATTTTACGAAGGGGATTAACTGCATAGGTATGTCGTCCAGCGCCACTCTTATTACCATTTCGCGCAGATTCATTTTGTTCGTTCTGCAAGCGGGGTGGTTGGACGTGGACCCGAATAGGAGAGATGAGACACGATACAGCATACACTATACACGAGGCACATATGTGTAGAGGGAGATGCAGATATGTGAGGCCCGTTTTCGCCACTCCTCGCATATGTCTTCCATTTTTTTCTTCTTCTTCTTCCTCTTCACAGTGGGTTTTAATGGGTCCGGGAAGAGTAACATTCTGCTAGCCATCGAGTTCATACTGAGCGACATGTGCGAGTACAAACAGGTTTTTCTACACGAAGGAATAGGAAATGCAGTGAGGAGCTGTTACGTAGAAATCGTTTTTGACAACTCGGAAAAATATTTTAGCATGTTTAAAGAAAACGAAATTAAAATAAAAAAAGTTATGGAAAATATGAAATGTGAAATTTATGTGAATGAAAAAAATATCAGTAAAAATCAATACGTGGAATTACTAGAAAGTTGTGGCTTATGTGTTAACAATCTGTACAATATAATTAAGCAAGGACAAATAATAAAATTAAGTAATATGAAAGATGAAGAAATTCTGAATTATTTGAAGAGTATACTGGGCGCGAAAATATTTGAAGAGAAAAAAAAAGACGCTTTATCAATGCTCAAAGAATGTGATACCAAAAAAGGGACCATCGAAAAGGAGTTTCAAGAAATGAATGTAAAATTGGAAAGTCTACAAGCAGAATTTGAACATTTTTTAGCCTATAAAAAATTGGAAAAAGAGAAAGTTCATTTAGAATATCATTTGAACGAAATAAATTACAAAAATGTATATAGAGAGACACAAACGCTTAAGTCTAAGTTGCAAGAATTGAAGAATAAAACACAGGACGAAGACAACAACTTAAGCTTAAGCAACAGCAGCAAATCGGAGTACACGGAACAGCTTAACAAAATGAAGTTAGAAATTGTTTCTTATCAAAATGAGCTCGACAAATCCGTGTCGGAAGAAATACAGAACAAAAGAAATATCATACATCTCGAAATTCTAATTGACGAAAAAAGGAAGGAGAAAAAATTGAAGGACTCCAAAAATAGAAGCAAAATTGAAAACCTCAACCAGATTAACGATTTCATTCTGCGCGTTAATGAGAAGCTTCAGAGCCTCAAGAGCGTTATCAATTTGAAGGAGAGGGAGATAGAGGACAAGCACAACGAGATAAATATGGTACCTGCGAATTTGCACGCGCGGGGCGGCGCCACGTTCGCAGCCTCAGCCCGCGCACCCACAAACACATATGCACCAACGCGGAGTGAGCCACTGAATGTTGGCACCTTCCCTTGTCCCACTTCTCTCAGTTGCTGTCGGCGAACCAGAAAAAAAACGCCAAGGACGGGAATTACTCCCATAATGTGAAAAAAATTGAGAAGATGATAGGCGACATCAACACGGAGTTGTCCGTCCTGGAGAAGGAGGTAACGGGGAAAATAGCTCAGAAGGTGCAAATGCTTCAAATGGTGCAAATGCTTCAAATGCTGCAAATGCTTCAAGCGCTGCAAATGCTGCGGGAACGTGGCAAAAAAGAAAAAAAAAGAGACCCTCCCCCCTCGCATGTGCTTCACCCCTTTCTGCACTGCACCTGTAGGCAATAAAAAACGAGAAATACCTAAAAGAGCTGGAAGAGGAGTCCAAACTTTTAAAAAACAGTGTTAAGGAGAACAAGACGCTATCGGACAAGTGCGCCGATGAAATAACCCAACTGAACAGTGTAAGCCTACTGACTGAAAAAACAAGGGGGCAACACATATAATATGCTTTTGTCGTTTCTCTCCCGATTACTTATGTGCACCTATTCCCTCACCTTTTCCGAACTTCCGCGCAACTTTTCGCAGAAATCAGAGAGCTGCGTGGAGCAGAAGAGGCAGTACCAGCAGAAAATCTCGGAGGGAACGGCAAACCTGAATGTCGTAAAAAGTCAACTTTTTGAAGTGAATGGTGAGGGGGAATGCCAGTGCGCGGAGCGATGTGACTTCGCGGGGAAATGTACCTCTCCGGTGCGACGTGCCTCCGTGTGGAGATAGGCACATATGCTCGTAGGTAGTTACGCACGTCTACATGAGCCGACGCCCCCCCCTCGCATCCATCGCTGCTTAGACAAGTACGAAGAAATGATAAAGAGTTCGAACAAAGAAATTGTCAAGATGGTGCAGCTGATCTTGGAGGACTCCAGCATACACAAGGAAAACGTTCTGGGCTTCCTCATAGACAACATAAACGTAAGGAAGGGAGAAACAGGAGAGAGCGTCCCCACAGTGTGGACAGTGCAAACACATCTGTATGTGTCTGTGTATGCATATGGACATGTCCTCCCCTTCTCCCTTCCCGTGCAGGTAGACAAGACGTACGTGAAGGCCGTGGATACCGTTCTGGAAAACCACTACTTCACGCTCATCGTTGAAGACATGAAGACGGCAAAAGAAATAGTCGAATTTATAGAAAAAAAAAGAGAAGAAAAAAAAAAAAAGGAATTCGAATTTAAGGATTTCTTCTTTGGCAAACTAACCATCGTTCCATTGTTGAACATAAGAAAGTACAGCGACTTCACGTACCCTAATGACAAAAATATGGTGCCCTTAATAAACTGCGTAAATTACAATACCAAGATATACCAGTTTTTAAAGAGCATCTTATTCAAAACGGTTATCGTGAAATCCTTGGAGTGCTGTCAGAATTACCTCGAGGAGAACTACAACTGCGTCAACATCGACGGGGACTACGTAAGGGGCAAAGAGGGCTTCTCTCGGTTGCATATACGCATGTGCGTACCTGCTCTTACGTGATCTTACCTGCTCTTCTCGTGCACCTTCCTTTATGACCCTCTACGAAATCTCATTACCCCCCCCCGCCACGCAGCTGAGCAAGCAGGGTTTTATGTACGGAGGGTACAGCAAAAAGAAGTACGGCGTCTACACCATATACAATAAGCTCAAAGAGTTAAAGGAAAAGGAGAAGAAGGAAAAGAGCGTCATCGAAGAAATGTCCAACAACATCGAGAAAATAGACGAAGAACTACGAATCATCTATGATAAAAAATCCAACACGGTAGCCCAGAAAAATGGGTGTCTAACAACACTGAACTCAATTACGAATAACATTCACGCAAATGATGAAAACGTACGCATAACTAGCGAAAAAATAAAACAGATTAAGGAGAAGAGAGAGCATCTAGAGGATTATAAAGAGAAGCTAAAGGTGCAGATACTGCAGCTGCGAAATAATAATGTAAACCCGGATGAATCGCCTAAAGGCTCCCTTGATATCAACGCCCTCAATGAGCAAGTCAAGAAACTCAAGGAGGAACTCAATAAAGTTACCAACGAGTACGACGATTTTAAAAACAAGTTGGAGCTTCTCTATCAGAAGAGGAGCGAGGTAAGTCCTAAAAGAGTCAAAGTGTAGAAGCGTAAAAGTGTAGAAGCGTAAAAGTGTAGAAGCGTAAAAGAGTCAAAGCGTAAATTGGCAAATTGAGAAATTGCCGCCCGCTCAGTGGGGCGCACCTACTTAGGGGTGTTTCCTTACCGTGCCTCCTTACCGTGTTTATTTCCCCCCCTTCCCCCCGCGTGCAGAATGACTCCAACATCTACATGGAAGAGTACGAAGACGTCGATATCGACGACTACACCAAAGAGCTGAGGGAGAAGAAGAATAACCTCGAAAAGGTGGGCCAACTGTGGAAGAGAGAAATCGCCTCACTTCAAATGATGTGCAAATGAGCCTTTTCGCATCACTTTCACTGTACATACCTGCATACGCGTACCCATTTGTGACGGCCTCGCATCCCCTTCTAACACATTTCATCGTATCCTACTTTGGCACGCTTTACCCCCTTTTGCAGATCGAAAAGGAAAAGATGCTCTACGAACAGAAGATAAAACAGATCAACGTAATGAGCAGAAGAGAGGCTGACAAAATGTGAATCCAATTAGCCAAGCGTCGATGCTTTATTTTTTTCCTCGTTTGTGCCATCTTTTTTGCCACCATTTTGCAGAAAGACATGGAAAGCGTAAAGTCGAGCTTAGACAAAATCTACATAAACGAAAAGAAACACAAAAAGAGAATCTTGGACCTCTGTCATCAGATGAATCAGATAAATGAGGAGCTTCGCATTTTGGAGTAAAATTTGTCGCGCAAGGAGAAGAAGCATTCTTGCGTGTTACTTACACAGGACATGCCATTACGAGAAATAAAAGAAAACAGGAAAAAAAAACAAAAAAAAAAAAAAACGACATACCTTTAACTTCCCCATTTTGCACCTTCGCAGAGGAAAGGAAGAAAACATACGAAAGAAAAAAATAATCCTGCCTCAAGGCATAAAAGACCCAAATGAATATAAAAATTACGATAAGCAAGAGTTGTCTGCGAAGCTTAAATCCATAACACTTGTAAAAAAAGGGGCGGTGGCGCACATGCGTCTTGCCACATTTTAATGTCCGTTCTTTGCGTGCAATGCAGCCGTGGTTGCATTTGTCTCCTTGCGAGTATTCTCACTTTTTTTTTTTTTTCACCCCCTCACAGGAACTAAAAAAATATTCCAATGTGAATGAAAAGGCGGGAGACAGACTAAATATACTAATGAGTACGTTTTTACGACA